ATTCATTCATATCGCACACACCGTGTTTATTGTTGTTATTATTATCAACAAGAAGCTTTTTAATGATATTTTTATATGGAAGTATTATAAATAGAATAAGTATCTAGTAGTATATTGAAATATATGAAATTTTAGAATTAACGTAAGCAGAATTTTTACAGAGAAGATACAAATAAATGTTGTGTGTATATATTCATATAGTACCTACATAGACTACATAATTTAATCTAGATTTTAAGGATATCTTTTAGGATACTCATTATTGTGACTATGAACTTTCTGAAGTACAAAATTTGAAACGCAGCATTTTATTAAATACATTTAGTTTAAAATATCATAAGCATCAAATGTGCTTGTGTTTAAAAGAAAAAGAAACAAACATATGTATAATGTAAACTATTTTACACTTCATTACGATCCAACAAACCCTAAATCTTTCTACAATCGTCCATGAGGCGATTTAAAAATATCTATCTAAACGTGCGCTTTAGTTTTTATTTTTAAGGTAATCAGTTTGTGTAAATTTAGCTAACGTATTATATATTTAAACTATTCACGTGATCAAACAAATAAATATGAAATAGATATATTTTTTTTAATGTTTACAAAAAAATAATATAATAATTATTTAAGTAAAATGGTATATTAACCAATTCCTAAGAGTATATTAAGTAATGTTAGTCCAAACTTAAAATTACAATCCTACGGAAAGTGGAAACTTATTATCTAGTATAATTTATTTACATAGAATAAACTATTTTAAACTTTCGTTTACAAAAATATAACGTAAACTATAGAAAAAAGTATTTTTCATTCAGAATAAATCCGATGCGATAAAGAATGAATACAATTTGCATAGTGGTGCCGTGGTGCAGCGGCGAACGAGATATTTTGTTTTATGACAAAACTTGTCTTTATACGTTATTGCCTACTCTAAGCATTCAATGCAGTGTATAAAATACTTTTTGTAGTTGCCTCGTTTTATTTATCTATGTATGTACATATAATAAAATTCTGAGTCGAATCTGTAGGTACATTAAATATTTTTTGGAATAACTTATTGAAATTGTCAATTATTATTATCGATGCAGAGGCTGAATCTATAGTTTTAGTATAATAAAATTTTAAGTCGAATCTGTACATTAATTATTTTTTGGAAAATCTAATTGAAATAGACATTATTATCGATACAGAGTTTTTTAGAATTTTTGTCTTTTTTGTCTGTCTGTCTGTCTGTCTGTCTGGGAACGCATCACGAGTAAAACCACTGGACAGATGACATGAAATTTGGTATAATGATAGCTGGTTATCCGGGTCAACATACTTTTTACTGCGGGAAAATATCTCATCTCGGAGAAATCTATACTTACCGTTAAAACATTCCCAGGGACCCGGAACCTGAGCGGAGCGAGAGTAAGTCGCTAGATTTTAAATAAAGAATAATTTCAAAAATAGTTTTTTTGGAAATCAATAAAAAAAAATATCCCCGATATCGGTCCAGCTGTTAAGGAGAAGAAGAATAACGAACACACGCACACTAGAATTATAAGATATGACAACAGATTATCATATCTACAATTAAAGTATCAATTACTAAACAAATACGAAAATTGTTTTTTTTTTTTATTTTTTTCCATAAACTTAATAATAGCTTTTGTTTGTTTTTCCTGCAATGAGTGCACGCTATGGTGTGAGTGAAGGTGCCTGTGCTCTTTCAGGAATCGATCTATCGCTTCCTGTATGCAGCGGCCTTTGAATAACAAATGTATGTAGATTACAGATAGAACGTTTGCCTCTAGAGCGGATGATGTATTTTTATGAAATGGAAATAAAAATATTTAAATCTAAACCTCTTACTTAAAATAGAATTCTGTTTGTTTTGATAGTAATATATAAGAAGTATTTCAGAGTAAATTTTGTTAATTTAACTAGCGACTTATCCTCGCTCCGCTCGGGTTCGTCCCTAGTTACGTTTTAACGTTTAGTATAGATTTCTCAGAGATGAGATATTATGCCGCAGTAAAAAGTATCTTATATGTTGACTCGGTAATCGGTGAACATACATAAAAAAAAAGATTCCGACGAATAGAGAACCTCCTCCTTTCGAAAGTCGGTTAATTATACTATAGTAGCGTAAAAGAAATGTTAAAAAAATTATGTCATTAAAAATTTATACATTACATTATGCAGGAACTGAACATATAATTCGCACATAAATTGCATACAAAAATTACAGATAATTTGTACAAATCTAGTACGACATTGACATTTTTCCACGAAACAAAGGACATAATATGGCCAGTAGAATACCGTTCTCTGACAGCTGATTCAGTGATATCTCCTGTTACCAGCGCGACATATTTTTTTTCTTAATCAATTGTATGAGTCATTATGTGACATTGTTCAATGAAATTTTTATAAAAATGCAATTATTTAACGCTAGTATGAAATAGAACTATTACGCACATACCTATACGTATAGACAGTCGGAGTATTTATTCGTTTTGCATCATTGCACTGTTTAGTATCGTTTAGCTATTAGATATTTTCTATATATTAAACATATAAAAGAAGTTTTAATCTATACATATATTAAAATTGTAACTAAGTCGAATCTGTACATTAAATATTTTTTGGAAAATCTAACTGAAATAGACATTATTATCGATCAGATCCGGTCAGATCGACAGAGTCCGAATCTATAGCTATTAGAATTTTTGTCTGTCTGTCTGTTACCGCATCACGAGAAAACTACTGGACAGATTTTGATGAAATTTGGTATGGCGATAGCTGGTAATCCGGATCAACATATAGGATACTTTTTACCGCGGGAAAATATCTCATTTCTGAGAAAAAATACAAAAACTGCATTGTAAGAGTATACTAATATGTAAAACCTAAGAATTTGGTTTTTGGTCATCTGAACGCGGGCGGAGCCGCGGGCAATACTTGTATTATGGTAAGTTAGAGTTTCTTTAAGTAAAGGAAATCAATTATTATATACTTTTTCTATCGTATCTATTGAAGATGTAACAACTTTATTATAATGTATTTCTATTACAAATATTTGTATGAATAAAATAGAAAGTTAGCCGTCAGCTATCGATGTATAGACGATTACAATTTTCTTTATTGTATTTAAAAGAATGAAAGAAGGTATAATAAAGAAACAAGATTGAAGAAATATACGAGAATATTATTGGTAGTATATTGACCAATATGTAATATACAAATACATATGTATTACAACAAAAAAAAATCGAATGCAGCAAAACAACCATTGAAAGTTAACCAAATTTCATAGCTCTTATTAGATTCTGCACCATTTCAAATGAAAACTGGGGCGCTTATATTGAGCTTTCCAATTTAAAGCTAATTTCCGCTTTAGTCTTCCTAATAAGTTACGTAAGCGTACCTATGTCTATTTAGTAGTTAAAACGTGATTCAGAAACTAAATGAAAAATAAAAAATTATTTAATTGTATAAACGTCATCGCTATCAACGACTTATGATGAAGATTAAATACAATAAGGAGCTTCTATGGTTTAATATTTATAAGTCAAATTGAACATAATTTCAAGCTTATTGGTCATCTGTACATATAATCTATCTAATTTGTGTGGTATCCCTAAAGTTGGATAAAGGGGGCTATAAAGTTCAAAACTATAACTATTTCAAACTGCTTAGGAGATTAACGAAAATGTGCTTTTGTAACTATACTTACGTACTTAGTTCTTGTACTTATCTACTTATACTATATTCTTGCTAGTTCCTAGACATACAATATAAATCTTAGTAGTAGCAAGAGATATATACCAGTTTTATAACTTAGTTTGAATTGTGAGAGATTTTAAATAAACGCTAAAAAACCGTACCATAAAAAGGTTTACATTTATAGAATAATTTTAAATATAAAAACAACGAGTTACGTGATATTGTTAGTATGCAAAATAATAATCCCACGTATATTTTTCTTATTATTAATATTAATCGTGAGGAAACCGGCTTGTCTGAGAGAACCTAGCAAGTTTTCGAAGGATATATGAAGTCCGCCAACCCGCACTTGGCCAGCGTGGTGGTGCTGCTCCCCCTCGTATTGAAGGGAGGCTCGTGCGCAGAAATGACACGTTATTGGGGTGTTTATTGCTCAAATTACTCGTAAGCAATTAAACACAATCTAATAAAATTTGGTATAGAATACAAAAAAAGACCTTTTGCATTACGGACAAAGGTTGCAAATATAAATCGACAAATTACAATAGATTCAAATAATACCACAACAACAGAAACAATCAATAAGTCAATAAGAAGCAGCAATTTTCGTTTCCCGCATATTATCGAGGTTATTAAAATGTACCGAATTTATTTTCCATTTCGATATAAAATTGATTTGATTGCAGACTAACTGCGCTTCCTCGATATTCTGCAGCTATAAATTGGTGCCAACTGTAGGGTTATCACAACGATACGAAAAAAAATTTGATGATATTCATTTGTAAACGTTCCACCACGGTGCTAAATTCTTTATAAATTTTATTTATTAACATAATAAAATATGCTGAGTAAGACTGACTGAAGATATAAATTTAATATTTTTACGTTAATATCAATAAAACAATAATACTATCTTACATTTACGCGAATATTTAACATTTTAAATAAAATTATCTTCTCGGATTTTTTCGCTTAAACCTTAGTCCACCCGCCCGTGACTATGATTGCTGTAAAGCTTTCGAAACGTCGAGAACCAAAAATCAAAATAAAACCGCGAAAAAATCCGAAAAAATTGCTTTATTTAAATTTTCCAATAAAACAAATTTACTGAATGCAAGTTCTAAATATTTAAGTTTTTACAGGTATTTCCTTCCATACGAAATTCAATAAATATTGCTTTACAAATTAACCTTCTAGATAAAGATCATATTTTAAGAAAGAGGTAGTGCCCCTATTTATAATCGCTCTATTAGTCACACTATCACTTTTACACTAACCGAGTTTCATAATGCATTCTGCATGCACGCGCCAATGTGAGCCGAAAAATCGTCTGATAGACATTTCGGATGTAGGTTAACAACCTTAACGTAAGTGAGAGCTATCTCTCGATATTTGGGATTATCGTAGATGCTCTGTATGAAAATCGTGTAGTCAATTTTGCATAAATTGTTTTAGTTTTAGAGTCGAAGGGTTATTAGTACTTTTTATGCATATATGGTTATTTAATTTCATTTTCTTCCAAGCACCTCAATATAGTAGTGGTATTCAGCCCTTTTTAACGTTCCACTGCTGGATTTCAATTTTCCACGTTTCCTAACGATTTTTTCCTACACCGTAAGACAAATGATAATCATGTTGGAAATCACTCGCACATGAAAACATAGAACATGTCCGAGATTTGAACCCGCTTCACTCGGTTTTCCAAGCGAGCGAGTTACCACTGGGCTACCAATCTGTATAATGTATACAATAATCCACGCTATAACACTATTTCTTATTTCCTTAGGTTGGCTCAAAGAGATCTCTTTTAGAGATAGGTCTACCTTTACCGACACTGATCTCTGAATCGATTTTGCTACCCTGATTTAAAATGCAATAAACTATTTATAAATAAATTAAAAAGGCCCGACCATGTTTTATACAAAATATTTTTGGTAAATAAATATGATCTTTACTTTGGTTTAAGCTTCGAAGCAGCTGATATATGACATAACATGTACTAATCCTTTTCACTACATATAGCACTTTGTCACTGTTCATAAACGTGAAGGTAATTAAGATAATTCCAAATGACGCACAAATTCATCACACTATGAGCCGCACATGTTTGTAAAGAAATATTTTAATCAACTTTAAGACAATACATACTACATTTTATATGGCATTGGCAATTTTAAATCAAATATACAGTACAGTATAACGTAGAACGAATAGGTATATATTTAATTAAACTTATGAAATATGGATTTCCATCTGTCTGTCATAACGAAGAGTTTCTTCCGCCCGAACAATTAATACGAAGCAATTGCACAACATTATTTATATAAGTATATTATAATACTAAATAGTTCTAAGGAAATAGATTATAAATTTTCCCTTATTACAAGTCAAATTAAAAATATTTTTGGCAGTTGTTATTTAATATAATCATAAATTATTATATGATAACAAAGCCGTAATATACTCGCATGTGTGTATACCACGCAAATTGAACCCAAAATGTACACACAACTATATTTAGTTTTAAGTTTGTTTTATTAGTTCTCGTTTTATCTATTGATAAAGTCATTATCAGTGACGAAGAGCAAATTAACGCCTGTATAAATACGCACACTATATATTTGCTAAATAAATATTGGATGAAAACACAACAAATTTATTAAACTATAAAGTATTTTCGATGGTCGATTAAAAAATTACCTCAGAAATTACTTTTCATTTCGAAAACATCTCATTGACCTAATTAGGTTAACATGAAGTAATAAAAGATCTAATAAAGTGTTCGAATGAAATTTTCAAACGAATTAATAAATTATATAAAATACCGTAAAAATATATGTATATGGGTATGCCTTGAGATTTTTGATTGGTTTTATATTTTAAATCGGCCTTATAAATCTGAATCTTACCTTATCTCTGTGAGAATGACGATGATGGGTGACCGGAGGCGGATGCTGTGGCGGTGGTGGCACTTGACTCTGACCAGTCACTACTACTGGCAACCCATCGACTATGGTCACCATAACACGTTTGTCAGCACTACGGCGTCGTTCAGCCGAATTCCTTCGCCGCCTTTGTTCATCGGCCACAGGTTTCGAGAACACCGTTCGCCTATCAAATGCGCGAGGGTCGCCTTGGATTTCCGCCGCTCTGGTCGCAGGTGTATGGCTCTTAGATCGTTTCAAGAGTCTCATCACATGAGATTTCAAAGCATCTGGCTTACTCACTGGCGGTGGTTCGGGTTTGTGCTTGTACGATTGTGAGTGCGCGTGGTGGCGCTGCACGGACACGGCGTGCCCCATCCCTGGTGGTATTACGTTAGACAGGCTCTTGACTGCGTAAGCAGCATCTACTTTGTTGCCAGCCACACACGACACTTCGTACATCCCGACTCCTCTCGCGGTATACCGTCGGTACCACGAAAATATCAACAAATTCCGAAATTATACGGCCATTTGAGTTATAATTCCGTGAAACACTGCAATCCTCTCACTTTACACTTTCCGCATATTCAAAACACTTGTTCTATAGCCGATGCTTACATTTGTCGGTGATCATACGTAAGTGGGACCGGTTAAGGAAAACTACAAAACATCACACTGTTTACAGTATTAGTAATAAACAAAGTGAGTTTACGTGACTCAACAGTCGCACCATTCACAAACCTGTGTATTTATTAAAAACTGTAATGGTAAGTAACTAATAGAGTGCGCACGTCTCAGGCGTGCGGCAGCTGGCGTCGAACTGAGAGTGTGAAGCATTGATGGCATTAGTAATCGCCCAATGATACTCGAATGATAAGAGAGATACATATTTATATGTTGATGGACGACACATCCACAAAGGTCAATGTTTCAGTGAAGTCGGGCCAATTGATGTAATTGTATATAACAAGGTTACGTCTATTCCGACCGACAAAATGACGTCCAACGAATTAATCACTTAAACTTTGCGGATGCATTGAGTATAATTTTGGTTATATTAGCACAATTGGTATTACCGCTCCTAATAAAATTGGCTTCGAACAATCTAATGGACAAAGAAAAAAATTTGATCGTTCAATAAATGTACCGAAACGTGAGAAATCGCGCACTAATATAAAACTTTATAATTTATTTGTACTAAATCTTGAGAAAATATAAGTATATCTTCATGATATGTAGGAGTAGGTCCACAAAGTATAATTTGGGTAAAACTCGCAAAAAAGTCGCAAAAGCATTTAATATTCGCCCTAAACGAAGTCAACGCGAGGGTCCAAATCACATTATCTTGCGTTACGCTCAAAGGAATTTAGAGTAAATTCCTTGTTTTAACTTTCCTTAGAATTCCCTTTGTTAAGCCCATATCTTTCTACTATTATTTTGGTTTCAAGTTGACCTGTCATAAACAAGTATTCCTAAACAATTAATTTAATTTCTAACTTCATCTATATTTATATTATAAACAGGCAGAGTTTGTTTATTTGAATGCGCTAATCTCAGGAACTACTAACCAGATTTGAAAATTTCTTTTTGTTTTAGATAGCCCGTTTATTTAGAAAGGCTATATGCTATATATCATTCCAGAAGAATGTACGGTTCCCGTGGGATAGATTTGTTTTTGTCTAGGGACGAACCCGAAGCGAAGCTAGTGCGAGTAGCTAGTACTATATACATATAACCAAAATGATAAATTAATATTAAAATTATATTCAACTAGCATTGCCCGCGGCTCCGCCCGCGTTCAGATGACCAAAAACTAAATTCTTAGGTGTTACATATTAGTATACTCTTACATTGCAGTTTTTGTATTTTTCCTCAGAAATAAGATATTTTCCCGCGGTAAAAAGTATCCTAGGATCGCGCGCTACATCGCCCGGTTTATATAGCTTGAGCAGGCGGTCGAGCGATGCGGGGCAGAGGGGATGGACTCGCCGTAGGCATCTCAATGCTCGCCAAGCATTAAAAATGTTTCGCTACTAATTACTTCTAACAACGATATCTCAAAAACTATTCATCTGATTGATTTAGTGTAAAGAGCAATTTTAATCTGCATTAAATGACTAAGCTAACTAAAATATTCATTTGGATAAGGATTAATACCGAACTAAAGAAAATAACTTTGAAAATAACGTAATGTTTTTAATTAAAAATGTTAACATAAAAGTGGTTATTGTAAGTCAACCGTAAGAGATAGAGATATGCTATCGCGGACTTTTTTGTAGCATTTTTATAGATTTTGAATTCTCTAGTACATTACTTAACTGTATCTTTGCTAGTTTACGCGGCGTTCGCGTGGAAAGTTCCCATTTGGCGAGATTTTTTGCGACCTCTTCAACATTTGTCGCCGTATTTCAGCTAATTTACATAAAAGCATAATAAATTATATACCTAAACCTTCCTCAAGAATTACTCTTTCTATTGTTGAAAACCGTATAAAAATCCGTTCAGTAGTTTTCGAGTTTATCGCGTACAGACAGACAGGAGGACAGACAGGAGGACAGAAAGACGCGGCCGGGGGACTTATTTTTATAATAAGTATAGATAGATAAGACCTACTTTTAATTAATTTTGAAATAACACCTTGTTATTTATATATTCGATAAGTTATAACTCTATTACCACATCTGTGTATGTTTTATAAACAAAAATGATTTACTTCGACCGGTATTACTTCTCAAGCAACGAAACAATGCCGGTTTGAATGCGTCGTGAAGTGATTACATAACTTTAATTACTTGCTTTTAGGTCTTTATGATTGGTTACCATTCAGACAATAATAATTTACAACACAACAAGACCTAAAAGAGTCTTGAATGTTATATCCGTGTCGTATTTATAAAATAGCTAATAGATATAATTTAATCACTATTTAATTTTTTTTCCTCATATAAGTACTTATTTTCGTTCAAAAATTATAATAATATTAGCAATTCACCACCTAGTTACGTTTTAACGTTTAGTATAGATTTCTCAGAAATGAAATATTTCCCCGCAGTTTATCTAGTTATTTATATAGTTATTATATAGTTTATGTTTATTAGTAGTATTTATATAGTTTATGTTTATGTATCCTGTATGTTGTGACCGGCATAATCAGCTATCATCATACCAAATTTCATCAAAATCTATCTATTGGTTCTCTCATGATGCGATCCCAGACTTATAGAAAAAAAACTTAAAACTATAGATTCGGCCTCTATATTTTCCAAAAAATATTTAATGTACAGATTCGACTCAGTTAGAATTTTATTACTATAATAATACCAAATATGTATATGTATATGTATTATTGTTAAAAGTGAAAGGAAATTTACAATGAATAGAAAGATAAGAATATCTTTAGACCACTCGATATTCATCCATTAGTAAATTGCCGGCATATTTTCTTACATAAAAGAGTTTTGTAGAGATACAAGAAGAATACACAGTGAAACTCATTAACCAGTTAATTGTCCCAAATTGCATTCAATGAGTCATAGGCACAGTAGGTACATTTGCCCACTTCGTATTTGGAGAAATTGAGTGAAAGCGCACGCGCAGTGTTGATGGCACGCCAATGACAAATCAGTAACTATTTAATACTAACTACTCTCGCTTCGTTTTGAGGCCTGTAGCCTATTTGTTACTCCAGGTCATAATCTATTTATGTATGTACTAAAATTGATCTAAATCTAGCCGTTTCAACGTAAAGGTAACAAACATACACACAGACACATTTTTAACTTAGAAAAAAAAATTTTTAAACATTAAATATACAATAAAAGGTTACTTTAATATTTTAATTACTTGTCTATATTTTTAAATAAAACAATTTTTCGGATTATTTCGCGGATTTATTTTGATTTTTGGTTCCCGACGTTTCGAATGCTTTACAGCATCCATGGTCACGGGAGAGACAGTCTCTCCCGTGACCATGGATAATCAAATCGAAATAATCCGAAAAGATAGTTTTATTTAAAAATGTCAAACACTTGCGTAAATCTAAGAAAGTATTACTTTTCTATACACTAATCTTCAACGAGTTTTCGTAAAAATGCTCACACTGTCTACGTAACCTGTTTAAATATTGATGACAATATATTTCTCGATTAACTCGTTTTATAGTAAATATCGATTTGCTATTAGAAGCACATTCGATATCAATAACGTTGTGTGTGAATTACTTTTAAACTATTATTAAAAACGTATTATAAGCCCTATAGCTATAAACTTTACTTGATCACTATAGACTTTTTGTCTACATTCTTCATTCGTACGAGCACGGGCGCGCGGTCATTTGTTCTCAGAAGTCACGGCCTACTTGCACCTGTATTGAATCATTTCATTATAAACGTCGACACGAATGATTAATGAGATATACGCCTCTGCTATTTTGTAAATTAGAATATATCTATACATATAATAAAATTGTAACTAAGTCGAATCTGTACATTAAATATTTCTTGGAAAATCTTATTGAAATAGAAATTATTATCAATACAGAGTCCGAATCTATAGTTATTAGAATTTTTGTCCGTATGTCTGTCTGTTGCCGCATCACGAGAAAACCACTGGACAGATTTTGATGAAATTTGGTATGATGATAGCTGGTTATCCGGGTCAACATAATATAGTAAATAAGTAAATACAAAAACTGCATTGTAAGAGTATACTAATATGTAAAACCTCAGAATTTGGTTTTTAGTCATCTGAACGCGGGCGGAGCCGCGGGCAATGCTAGTCATAAATATAATTATATATGATTGCACTCGAGTGTAACATTTTAATTTATAGTGATTATTAAATTAATTCAAAACTATAAGTCATTAGGCAACAGAAATCCTATCCAGCTACTTAGCTAAATGTAAAACAAATCATGCGAATCCGTGACTGTCGACGTTCTTTTTTGTGTGTATATTTAGTCTTTTGGTCGACTTTAAAAAAAGAGGAGGTACTCACGAAATAATACAGGTTTATTATGCGTTATCTTTTCATGAATGAAAAAATTTACATGAATGAAATTTGGCAACAGAGATAGACTATAGTCTGGAATAGTACATAGACTAGTTCTATCCCGGAAAAACGTGCGGTTCCCGTGGGATAGATTGTTTTTGTTTTTCGTAGAGGCGAACCCACGCGAAGTGAAGGTGAGCCGCTAGTAATAAATATTTTTATCTAAATTATTGGAAAACTTTAACAGTTAATTTCAACGGGTTTAAACTTTAAAAGTTAAAACTTACATCATAAACAAGTCTCTTACAGATTAATTTGAAAAGAAAAAAAAACACACACACACACACACACGTACACTGAAATGTGACAACTACTTATATTTATCACTTCGCTGTGAATGAACTAACAAATTACACTTTGTTCCTGCGAGGCCATTGGATCATTCATCTGTTCGAGAGTTATTTGTAAACAAA